ATATACATTTAAAATTGAAGTATGCTTAATTAAAAAACGAAACAAACTGTATGACAGGTATCGAATTAATATAAATATAATTTTATTCAATTTTGAAATAAAAAAACAGTTTTCAATATAATTTTGCAAGTAAATTCTATCAAATGTAAATATTGATTTGTTGAGAAATATTTTTATTTAAAAATATTTTGCAAAAACTTTTAATATATTTTTGCTTCTAACATCATCAAATTAAATATCTCCATGATAAATTGCATAGATTTTTATGTCTCAATATAAAAAATGTAAAGTCGCTTTTGTAATTTTACAACAATTCTTTGTTGCATCAAAAGATAAAATGTATGCACGATGTACACATTAAATTAAAAAAAAAATGTTAAAAAAATTGAATGTGTACATCGTGCGCAACATGCGTTATCTTTTACGACTTAACATCATTATTGCATTGACGATGTGTAGCAATTTAAAAATCATGACTTAAGAAAACGAAATTATTATAAAAAGTATTACTTATAATCGACAAAATTGAAAATAACTGTCAATATATGTTACTACCGCATTTATTTTCTATGAGTAAATGACAAAATTGATGATTTCTTTAAAGTTACGACATTATTCTTCATTCAATATTGTGCATTAGTAAATTATTTAATTATAATTTTTACTAATTTTATAAAAACTATCCGACAATAGTATTTTTTATTTAAATATCTGTTTTTAATTTTTTTTTAAATAAATTTTTGTATTAAGAATTCTAAAGTTCTAAAGTAGTGATTTTTTTTAAATATGTACTTTTTTACAATTATTAAAAAAAAACACATTTTTTTCATTTTCTCTTATATCTACACTTAATAAAATAATACGGTAGAAATAAAAATATAAAACATAATTTTATTTTATATGCTTTATTTATTTTATACTTGCTTTATTACACAATTTTATATTTTAAACTGGGATATCGATAATAATAAAATCAATCATAAATTACGAACAAAAAGTTTAGAAATTATATTAATATTTACAAAATTGTTTAGTATCTTTATTATGTTATCATTTCATACGAATAATATCTAAAAATATTATATGCTAAATTCGTGCAGTACGTGAATCAGCTTTTTCAACACCAAGTCATCAGCTTCGAGAGCTTATTTAGATTCACATATTAAAATTTACGTTGTATTCTTCTATTAAAGTTGAGTTTCTCGCTATTTATTTGATGTCTTCCAATAATATATATTAATAACACAAAATTTAGAGTAATATAAAATTATGTTTAAAAAAGTTTCAAGATGTTATGTCATATGTTATAAGTTTGATTTTCTTTTTTATTTCTCGTTATTTTATATAATTTTGTTAATAATGTATGTAAAATAAAAAATTTGCAAAATTAAACATGATTCAATGATAAAACTGTATGAAAAAATATTTTTTAAGTATTGCATTTTTGCGTAACGATATAAACAAATCATTTTAATTATAAATTTAATATATTAATTACTTTAATTACACTGTCCAACGAATTGAAAAATTTGTCACGAATCGGACAAAATAATTTTTACAAATTTTTTAATCATTGAAAACGCATTTATTAATGAAACAGTTCTATCACGTTTTGAGCTTTCTGAGTTTACAGGTATTCTAAAATGCCATTTATAACTCTTTTGAGTTCACTTTTCTCAAAAAACTTATAAAAATAATTTTGTCCGATTCTAAATTCCATGTTAGGCAGTGTTACTAATTTTCTTGCTAACAATGAATAATAAATAATTCACTTAGTAAGTAAGAAACATTTTCGAATATTCCAGCAATACTGTAGCAATATTGTAATCAAATTTTATAATTATAATCAATATCTCATAAGTTTATGAATTAGGCCCAGTTCCACAATTCACAGTTAACTCTTAACCGAGGTTCAACTTATTCATTGTCTCTAGAATTGGAAGGAGATGAGAAACAAGTTGAATTTCGGTTAAGAATTAACCGTTGTGGAACTGAGTCTCCAGTAAGCAAAAAACATATTGGAATATATGTTGTAATATAGACTGTAATGTTGCTGAAATGTTCTCTGTTTACTAAGTCATAAACTTACAAAATATGAAAAAATTTATTTGCTTATCTTTATTAAGGCATATAAATAACTAAAAAAAGTATTTAAAAAATGTAGTCAAATTATTTTAAATTAGTAAATATAATTTTATTATGATATCTTAGATGCTATTGTTTATCATCATGAAGTTATGCATTGGCCATGGCCTTGGCGAATGCTTCAGGATCAGCAAATGGTTTAGAATTAGCTTTGGCAACTGCTTCAGAACTAGCCTCTACAGTTGCTTCAGGATTATCCTCGGCAGTTGTTTCAGGTTTAGCCTCGGCACTTGCTTCGGCAATAGGTCCTCCATTAGTCGGGATGATAATTGCGACAACGAGCACAAGCTCGAATAAGAAAATTGCAGTCTTCATCCTAATTTTTTCATTTAAAACTGTCGCGAGTTACGTTACGTTAGCTTCTAAATTGTCTTCCCTTAGTGGACAGACAATTTATAAAAGTGATACCTATCAATATAATAAAGCACATCAGAAATATATAAGATGGTTTGATGTACTTTAATGACTTAAAAAAATTGCATTTTTTTGTTAAAATTGAGCTTCGTAACATCTTCATGTCATCAATATCTTTAAATAATAATTTTGATAGATAAATTTATATTTAAAAATCAAGAATGTAATGTATTTTAAATAAATAATTAATATTTTTGTAAAATATAAAAAAAATTTAATATAACTCATAAATGATATTAAAAAAAAGTTAGAATAATAATTAATATGCGTTTAACAAGTGCGTATACAGAAAATAAGTCAATGTTTAATTTTTTTATTAAGTCAATATATAAATTATATGGATTTTTACACGTAATATTTGTCAATATTAAAGTATGCAAGAGCATTTTATATAACAATTCTAAATTTTTTACATATCAATAAAAAAATGTTTTAAAAATTTAATACATTTATCGTGCGGCACGTGCATTATCTTTTATGAGTCAGTACCATTACTTCGTTGCAATCTGTAACGATACAGAAATCGTGACTTAATAGAATAAAATATCACAAAATACTTATAATATTTATAATCGATAAAACTAAAAATATTCTGCGTATCTTCTATAGCATTATCTATTTTTTTATGATTTTTGTTATTCGAAAATGTTAGATATAACTATCAAAGAAACTACGCGTAAAGTGACTAAATCCATGACTACATATAATGAAGTTACTCCGTCAATTTCTATAATAAAGTTATTCCGTTGTTATCTGCCAGCAAATTATTAATTACTTTATTGCAATTTTATAAAAATAAAAAAAATGCATTTTTTAATTTAAATATCTTTAGTTTTTTTTTTAAATTATGTTAATTATAAATTTTTAATTTTTAAAATTGCAATTTTTTGTATCTTTTTAACAATTATTTAAAAAAAAATTTTAAGTTTCTATTATTTGTACAATTTGATAGAATAATAGAGTGGGAATAAAATAAAACCAATTTATTAATTTTTTTACGTTTTATTAATCTTAAGCATGCTCTATCATGCAATTTTATATTTCAAACTATGTTATTTATGACAATAGTATAAATTACGAATAACTCGAAAGAGTTTAATAGTTATATTAATACATAAAATTGTTAAATTATCTTTATCCTGTTATCATGTCATGCGAATTATGTCTAATAAAAAATGTTATATGTTAAATTCGTGCAATACATATATTATTTCAGTTTTTATTTCAATCTCACGTCATCAGTTTTACGAATATATATAAATATAAAATTTACTATTTTATTTACAATAGAATAGAGAAAAAAAAACACGCAATACAAAAATTTTATAAAACTGAGCATTATAAAACTCAGCGACTTATTATTCTTTATTATAATTGTTGCTTTTTTTATGACGACTGCCTAATCTGCAAAAAAGGATAGATTTATGAGATTTATTTCCTTCAAATTGTAAGTCGTTAATATTATATTTGTATGTCTAACATATTATATAATAACAATATGTTAATAATCAATTTTATAAAAATTTAAATTCATTTTTCCTTCTGTCACTTCTTATTCACTTATCCACTTATTATTTGTGTCGATTTTGAAACACACTTTTAAAATAAAGTTAGAATATGAATAATATCACAAATTAAATCGACCAACAGTTGTTTATATTACTGATACAAATGAACATTAAAAAAAAAATCCGGGTATTTTGTTTACAATGTTACATTCAGTTTACTAGCTGCAAAACAATCAGCAATTTATACGATAAAACTTCGTTTTGACGCTTACAGTTAGTTGTATTTCTTTATGGCAAATATACCATATTTATCTGTATATAGACGCCGTAAGTTCTTTACAATATAAACACAATTATGTCATGTTAAGTGGATCTTTATATGTATGTAGGATCGCGCAGAGCGCATTTAGTTACACGCAATTAATAACTTTTCTTTGATACCCCGTGAAATTTAAATTGGCATAAAACGTTTTAATAAAAAAAACATTCAAGATTTATTTATTTCTAGTTATTCGCGTAATATGTTTTCTCTCGTATTCGTTATACGTAAATTTATAGCAAATGCACATTTCTGCGAACACGAGCGTGCATTATCACGATGCACATTGAATTTCGCATTTTGCTTATTGCTAGAGAATTAATATTGCAGATATATTATTACTCGTTTAGATAGACGTATCGCTGAAAGTTTTAAACGTTAATGGCATTTTCTTTTGGCGACGGAAATAACATCGACTGTTCGAATCTACCCTTTTTATCAATTCTCTTATACAATATACCAACGTGTAGTACTACAGCAATTTAAAAAGGAATTTTTCTTTATGCATCATAAAATGGTACGGTTGGTACCACACTATCATCGTCAAATCATAAATTGTGGTGTATCCGTTGTGCATTGGTGATAATTATACCTTTGTAGTGATTCTGATGCTAGAATGATTCTTCATCGCGGCCCACGTATGCTATAGCTATAAATGATTTTAGCGAGCGTTGTCGATTTCATCTAGTTGTAATTATGCGTTTACAAATCATCTTAAGCAACAATGCCAATATTAGATTTATTAGCAATTATTATTGAAATTGAAAAATGAAATTCAGCAAAACACAATTAAATAATTTAAAGATATACAGTGAGCATACACAATGTTGGATACATAAACTATTAATGCACTAATTTATTAGCGTTATTAATCATATAAAAGAAATAAAATGTTTATAGTATTTTATAGTATTTTATATTATAAACATTTTATAACATGGAAATTTGTATAGAAAAAATCGCGGAAGACAAACAATGTTAATATAATACAATAAAACCTTATTTCCAATTTCCTTGATGATAATATACATTTTATCAGATTGATCAGTGTTCAATTAATTTTGCTTTGGCACAAAAATGAATAATCAAGAATTACGTATAATTTCTCTTGATATCATAAAATAAATCATTGTAAATGTTATCTTATTAATACGATATTTTATACGTGATAGACATCACAGAAAATTACTTCAATTTCTTTAAAATAGTTGATTATGATAAACTAATATAAAAGTGGATTCATCTTTATCTTGCAAATAAACAATAAATCATATGAATTGCCTGTAAAATCTTTCATGCGTATATACAAAAACCTTTTATAGCGCAATTTATTATAAATTGTTGAATAAAAATGTAAAAGTAGAAAAATCTTTATACGTTTTAAAAATATCCATCAAAATATCCAATTTTTACGAATTGTTTATTATTTCTCAAGTGCACAAAAATACAAATATTTTTTATAACTATAAAATAATTTGTATATGTGTGTGTGTGTGTGTGTGTGTGTGAAAGGGTTAACTTTACCTAAGTTATATTACATAGTAGAATATAATATTAACAATAATATTTTATTTGAATAAAAAATGTATAACATTATAAATTGAGTTAAAAAATAATTTTGAGAAAATGTTACTTTACGCCAAGTATACTGCTTTTTTTAAAATAACTTTTTATTCGTAAGTTTATTTGTATTAAAAAATCACGTAAGAGAATTATATTAATACGATGTTGTCAGAAATTGTGCACGTTTCGTGAAAGATTAATTTTCTTATTTAGGCTTCCGCGATGTGATCTTTAAATTTGCTATAAATATTCACGAATCATGCATGACGCACGCTTGTAGAACATTGAGGTGTCGATGCTAGAGAAACGCTGTCAATTCGATCTCCGTGTTCTCGTTTCACCAGAGTAATATCCTGACAACTCAATAACTGGCATACAATTGGCATATAGCTTTACGTCTCTCTCATCCCCGTATTTCTTCCTATCTCGGAATGTGTTTGTACGCACCCACGTATTTCTCCACACCTTCTTCTTTTTGACATTTTACACGCATCTTTACGTATCGCAAAGGACAGAAATCCACGGAAGTCGCAAACCTTACGAATGCAAACACAAAATACAAATACAAATTCAAATATCGCTACAATGAAAAAATTTTCAAATAAATAAAAAAATTTAATTAACTCGGCTGTAGACGCTACAAAATTTAATTCAAGGTTGACGTGAATCTAAAGCACATATATGTGTGAGGTACAATTACCTTCTTTTCCATACATACGTTTTTAATGGTCTTCCATTTAACTCTTTGTGCACACAAAGAATTTCGCGGTTGGAATTTCAAAATCAATAAAGATTTGAGTGATTATTGCACGAGACATTAGAAGAGACACTTTTCAAGGAATTGATAAGAAAGTTTGCATTTGGTTTAAGAGCTATCTTGTCTTAACTTTTCATAAATCGCTCCGCAATATTAAAACCGAATTTTCATGCTAACAAAGAGATGAAGCAGGATGTAACGTATAAAAAAAATAGCCCGAGAACATCGATTAATTTTAATATATTGACAATGCTCCACGCTTTCACTGTGTCTAATAAGTCTAAACGACTTTGATCTATCGAAGAAAGTATAATTAGTGAAACACGGAAACGCCAAGATGGAACATTTTCTTGATGCGTCAATAGTATTATAAATTTGCTCGACGTATCAATTATATTTCGCATCATTGCAACATAGGGATGAAACTAGTTGTACATATCTGTCCATTGATATCAATCAGATATTCTTATCTCGCTGATACAATTCTGTATGATATGAATGCTACATATTGTCGTTCGAATAGTATTATTCAGATTGATATCACTTCCGTGAAAACTTGCGAAACAACAAAAATAAAACATAGAATAAAAGAAGAAATAATAAAGAAACGTATATCATATTGCTACCTAGAATTACTATTGTAACAAAGATTATAGTTACAAGTTTGATATATAAAAAGTTATATAGTATCGTTTATGTTTCAAGGAAACATCGATGCGCAGCGGAAGAAGAAAGAGAAGAGACAAAAGGAGAGAAAGAGAAATTATCATTCCACGTTCTAGTGCCTGATCAAAAAGAGCCGATTTTGCCAAGTACGGGGGGGGGGGAGGAAGGAGTGGCAAAATTTGAAGAAAACTTGAAGCGGAATACGCCGAGCAACTGGAGGCGGCAAGGATGTGCAAGCATCCGTGAGCATCATTGTTATTCCACTGCTTAAGCGTGGGAAGCGAATACCTTCATGCTCTAGCGAACACCCACAGGGTTCTCCCCTTTCACGACATAATCATTCCCTGGTTTTACCGTTTCTTGTATCGCAAGGTAATTTCGAAATAATTATTATCTCCGATACTTTGGTGCTGGAATTTACATACCAAAAATCCAAAATCCAAAATATTGGTATATCGATGCAGTTAAAATGTCGGATTATATTAATTGCGAAAAAAAAGGCTCATAAATCAAATATACATATACATATAAATCAATAATCGTGTATTATCTTACCTGATAAGTGCATTCTAAAATAAAACATTTTAGAGTAGATCAGATATCAGGCAATTATGTAATAATTTAAAGTAAGGCATTCTGCTGCTCAAGCTATGCGAAATACCGTGTTTGAAAAGACTGGCGTTAATGAACGCGTAGTCTAATGAAGTATAATGGCTCAGCAAATTTTGGTATTGGAGAGACGATCTACAGAATTTCAAGTTATTCAACGGGACATCATCAACTTTTCAAAAACACGAACAAAGTATTTATGAAATACTTAAAAAGACTTTGAACAGTATATAAATTCGAATGAAAAATGATTTGAATAAATTATAATTTTCAAAGTAACGAATTTTTATTTTTAATATATAACAATAATATATATACACATTGTTATATACAATTATTAAAAATAATGGATTCTTTACTTTTAAATTCTGACATTTTGACTTTAATTCAATATTATGCTACATCATATAGCATATTAACAATGTCCATCGACTATTCATTGACTAAAATAATGATGTAATTTTTCGTATATGCAAGGACGTAAAGATTACATATACTTAACAGAAAATTACTTACTTGTAATAAATTCTTACAATTTTAGAAGTTTTATACTTTGTGCGAAAAGAGGGAGATATTTCCAAAGATAATATAATATCGGTCGTTACGGGTTTATGTAAATAATTATTGATATCAATTGATATCTCTGTCTCAACGATAAACGATAAATGATAATTTATAAATCAATTCTCTGTATTAGTCACTTCAAATCCGATAAATCTCAAAATGATAGATTAATATTTAAAAGAATTTTCTCGCAAATCGTTTGGACAATCACGAAAGTCGATCGTTTCATTAAGAAAAGTTGAATGTACGGATGCTTTTAATGGATTAATAGACATAGACGTATAAATGAAATTGAAAGGTCCTAAATGAGAAAGATTCCACGGTAGCGCAAAAAAAAGCCGTAGAGAACAAAGAGATAAATGAAGCATTCACCAGCTCGCGTAATAATACTTTTAAATGATTTTTCTTTAAGCTTTATTTTCGAGAAGCTTATACAGTACGTGAGAGGAAATTGGAAGGAAATTTCGTCGGTTTCTTCGTAGAAACTCTCTTTAATTAAAAATAAAAAATTTATTTGTTACCTTTATTTATTATAATTGCGTCAAGATATAGCAAATGTAAAACTTCATAACTTGTATCAATCAATGATATTCATATCAACTATATATATTGCAACTAGTTGTTCGATTAATATAGTCTATGATTTTTATTATAATTGCGGTACCAAGAGACGATGAAAATGACATATAGCACTACTTGCGTTGATCTAACGGTCTCGTAGCTTTCTCGCTTGAATGCACGAAAAATGTGGATGTTACGGTAACGTGTACTCTTTGCAATGTTAACTATAATTTGTAGCTGAACTTAAAATGTTTCTCTGCGCGCCAGTCAAGCGACTGGCTTAGTCATCCATGAAAACGGTTGCTAAGAATATATTCTCGAATTAATATCACATTATTTATATAAATAAGCACAAAAGTTATTAGATATTACTTTTTTTCTTCTGTACTAGATTTATCTTTATTGTTAAAAATTTTTATTTTTATTATTCATTACCACTATCTTTGTTATTAACCTTTATCTTTATGATTAGTATTCTTTATCTTTATTATTAAAAATCTTTATCTTTACTATTAGATATTCTCTAATTGTTGATGAGGAACTGTCACAATGGATAAAAGTATTTAATAATTTTAAATACATTTTATCAGAATAATTGAACCTAATGTCAAAATAGTTTTCAATATTAATCCTGATAATTCTAATAATTCTAATTAATTTGTTAGAAATATTAATTAGTCACTAAATAAATAGGTATTAAAACACACGCACACACACACACACACACACACACACACACACACACACACACACACACACACACACAC